CTAGGCGGATGGTAACAGGAGACGAGGGACACGATGTTTTTACCCAGGTTCGGGCCCTCTTGATGGAGGTAAAATCCTACGTCCTGCTTGATTAATATTGATGATGTGGGTTACAAGAGTGGATCTACCACGAGATCAAGGAGGCTAAACCCTAGAAGCTAGCCTATGGTATGATTGTTGTTCGTCCTATGGACTAAGGCCATCCGGTTTATATAGACACCGAAGAGGGCTAGGGTTACACAGAGTCGGTTACAAAGGTAGGAGATCTACATATCCGTATCGCCAAGCTTGCCTTCCACGCCAAGGAAAGTCCCATCCGGACACGGGACGAAGTCTTCAATCTTGTATCTTCATAGTCTTGGAGTCCGGCCGATGATGATAGTTCGGCTATCCGGACACCCCCTAGTCCGGGACTCCCTCACTCCTTCCAGTTACCGAAAGGAGTTTTACATAGATTGGATTACTTCCAATTAAGATTCTTTTGGCAAGAAGATAGCGAGAGAAAGAAATATCGAATGGCTAAATGGAGTGTGGTTTGCCGTCCCAAAGACCAAGGCGGGTTGGGCATTCATGACCTTGAGGTTAAGAATAGGGCCCTCCTCAGCAAATGGTTGTTTAAATTACTAACGAAAGATTGTGTATGGCAAACCCTCCTAAGGAGGAAATATATGGGTTCCAAGGCGGTATCCCAAGTATATTGGAAGCCTGGGATTCCCAGATTTGGGCAGGTCTAATGGCTACGAAGAAATATTTCTTTTGCTATGGATCCTTCTCGATTAAGGACGGCTCGGAAATTAGATTCTGGGAGGACAAGTGGCTAGGAAATGCCACACTCCGGGAACAATATCCGGCTCTATACAACATTGTGCGCCACAAAAGGTGATACTATCGCCACGGTAATGGAATCATTTCCGCCAAATGTGACGTTCAGAAGAGACTTAATTGGACCCAGACTCCAATGGTGAAATATCCTGCTCCAACGGTTGTCCACGATGCAATTGTCACATGGGTCTGATTTATTCCGATGGAACCTCCATGGGAATGGACAATTCTCAGTGGATTCTATGTATAGAGCGTTAATCCAGTCCGATGTGCCAGTTGTTAATAACAAGAAGATCTGGAAGATGAAGATACCTCTTAAGAATAAAATCTTTGCATGGTATCTTCGTCGCGGAGTCATTCTTACTAAAAATAACCTTATTAAGAGAAATTGGCATGAAAGCCCGCAATGTGTATTTTGTCACCATGAGGAGACAATAAAACATTTATTCTTCCAATGCAAATTGCCTCGTTCTATATGGTCAGTCATCCAAATAGCTTCTGGCTTGTATCCTCCCTGTAGTGTTGCTAATGTATTTGGCAATTGGTTACATGAAATTGATCACATGTTTAGAACTCTTTTTAGGGTGGGAGCGCTTGCCGTTATTCGGTCGCTTTGGCTATTCAGAAATGATAAGGTTTTTAACGATAAAAGTACTTCTCTATTGCAGGTTATGTACAGATGTACCTCGTTTATGGTCCTCTCTACAACGCGTGGAGAATCGAGGCCTGTTTATGGAGGTGTGTACACGATTGAAGGCTACGGCGGGGGATACTTTTACCCAACATGGGTGGCAACATGCTCTAAGGATTGGCTCCCCTGCCTGTTTACGGAGGTGTGTACACGATTGAAGGCTACGGCAAGGAATACTTTTACCCAACATGGGTGGCAGCATGAACTAAGGATTGGCTCCCCTCCACATTAGGCGTTATACGGACTCTGCATGTTTCGTTGTAATTCGCCTTTTTATTTTTATTTTGTGTGAGAGGATCTTATTTGGCTGTGTGTATCTTAGTTATGCAGAGGCCGGATGTAATGCTTAAATCTTTTAAGTAATAAAGCGCCCCTTTTCGAAAAATGACAGTGTTCAGTTTTCAACAGTGCCTACGATGCCAACAAAGCATGAATGAATCTGGTGCAAACATCAGCAAGATAACTCACGAGACAAAAATTCAGAAATATAGAAGATGAATCACCAACATGTAATCACGAAGATGCATATCTGCTTTTCTCTGAATGTAACTCTAACAGTAGACAAAATTAGGAGCAGCTTATAGAACAATCACCTCAACGATGGGACAAAAACAACATAGTAGCATCAGCTCCAGATCACAATCTACAACTGCACGACTGAAAAAAATTCTTCAGAGCATAATGATGATACCCTAAATTCCGGCAAAGAAAACAGTACATAGCAATAATCTCTACTACTATAGTACATCAATTTTTGAACATGGGGTACCCGTGTCCTAGAAGCAAAATCCTTAGCCGTCGATTTGTTACACCAGGTGAATCTCCACTGTTTATCAATACCAGACTCGATTGATCCAACGGCTGATGTTCCCCGGATTCGCGTTGTACGGACGCGCGCCAAAACGCTGCCAATCTGGATCTTCCAGAGTTTTCACGGACGTGCTGTTGGCTTGCAGCCATAGCGGTCTGCTGCAGTGAAGAATTAAATATTCCAACAACCAGTATTTGCATGCACATGCTCGAACTATCTAGACCAGGTGCATGTAGAGGCTAGCAGCTTATACTACAACAGGAGCAATTTACATCTCACGGAGTGCTACAGGCATGGAAGCACTTTTTACTTTCTCAAAAGAAGTAGGGTGCTGTAGAAAAGACTGTACACATTTTTGTTTGCAGGTGAAGAAAAGAGTGTACACATGGCAATATTGCTGGTCGCTGAGAGAAATATTTGAAAAACCTGTATAAAATTTTGATTTTGATTTGACTATATTTTTCTTAACATGTTAAGTTATTTAACACACTGTGAGGTTGAGGATACACAAAGGAAATAGATTTTATAAGAAACCTCTGATTTAAAGGTGTGAAAATTACTGCATCAAACTAATTTACTATATATTTCAAATTTGAATTTTAAAAATATTTCACAAGCATGTCAATAACAATAACATTTCTCTTGGAGAAAATGTATGCTTTTTCTAAAGCATTCTTCGTATAGGAATTCATTGTGCTACAAAAAAGTTTCCATGAGTTCCCACTCGAAAACACAAATGTACTTTTGAAATTTGCATGATAGTTTTATCATAAGGCGATTTAGTTTTAGTTTAAATGATTTAGTATTGTGATTACTCATAATAATCTAACGTGCAAAGCACGTACAAATTACTAGTGATTATATAATACAGTACTTACTATGTTCTCAGCTGTAAGTAAATACTACCATAACTAATGTTTTTTTGGATATTGCAGGCAACATGCCTAAAATCTTTTCATATCAGAAACAAGTTCAATAAAAGCCATCATAGCCTGCAGGCATACCATCCAATATGATGCACAAGCCTCTCGAAATCATGTCCAGAACACATGCAATTTGTTCACAATTCATGCAATGGAAATTTTGCAATTTCCAACATACAGTGTACTGAAACATAATAGAGGATAACTGCACAGATTAAAAGGAACCCCTATTGTCGTATTAAAAGAGAAAGAAGGAATCAACATCGTCCATGCACTGTACTGGAAGAGTTGGCCTCTAGCTTTCCTCATGCCAAATCCGTATTTCGACTCAATGACTCTAAAACAAGCGCAATATACTAAAAGTCACCATCATCATTTCCCAAAAATGTGTTCAGATTTGAGTCCAAGGAGTTATAGTTTAAGATAACAACTTCATATTCTAGTGTATGAATACTAGTCATGGTAAGTAACACTGCCACAGTTTCACTCCACTGTAACTAGTAACTACATAAATGGTCTGAAGATGCATGGCATTATGTAAGCAACAATTTAAGTTCAATAGTTGGGCATCACTTCCAAATGTATAGGCGTATAGCGACCTTTCTCCAAATCCAGCACTAAGCTACTGATGATTGAACATAATATAATACTATGTTCTCAGCTGTAAGTAAATACTACCATTACTAATGTTCTTTTACCTATTGCAGTCAACATGCCTAAAATCTTTCATCGAGGGAAAAGCACATTAAAAAGGTTCAAATCCACTGGAGAAATATTTTTTCATCGATCAACTGATCCATGAGGGGGAGCTTAAAGACAAAACTAATAATCAAGAGTTAAACACAAGCAGCACAGAATACTAGTCCATATTCCAGTGCATGAATACCAGTCATGGTAAGTAACACTGCCACAGTTTCACTCCACACTCCACAGTAACTAGTAACTTCATCAATGGTGTGAAGATGCATGGCATTTGTAAGCGACAATTTAAGTTCAAAAGTTGGGCATCACTTCCAAATGTATAGTGCCCTTTCTCCAAATCTAGCACTAAGCTACTGTCATAGTGTCATTGAACATGATATAAACCATGTTCTCACTTCTCAGCTGTAAGTACATACTACCATAATTATGTTCTTTTGCATATTGCAGTAAACAAGCCTAAAATCTTTTGATACAAGACAATTTTCAGCCAGATAACCCAGCAGATATAAATTCAGAAATATAGAAGATGAATCACCAAACATGTAATCAAGAATGTGCATATCTGCTTTTCTCTCAATGAAACAGTAACAATAGACAAAAATTAGGAGCAGCTTATAGAACAATCACCTCAATAATGGTACAAAAACAACATAGTAGCATCAGCTCCAGATCAAAATCTACAACTGCAACCACTAAAAAAAATACTTCAGAGCATAATGATGATACCCTAAATTCCGGCAATGAAAACAGTACGTAGCAATGGTATCCATATCAGAAACATGTTCAATAACAACCATCATGACCTGCAGGCATATCGCCCCATATAACGCCCAAGCCATTCGAAATCATGTTCAGAACACAAGCAATTCGTGCACAATTCATGTAATGGAAATTTCCAACATACAGTGTACTGAAACATAACAGGGGATAACTGCACAGACTAAAAGAAGGAATCAATATCTGTGAACCTCTGTCACCGTTGTGCGAATCATGAAAAGGCTAACCAGTTTGAGTTTCATCAGCAGAGATTGCAGTGTCCAAACCAGAACCATCAGGGAAACTCAAGCTCGGGGAACCATTGGCAGGTACCGTCCTTCTGCTGCTTCCGAAGGAACTCAGGGAGGATGAGGCTCTCTTTGAGCACATGTGGAGTAATTCTGAGGCCCCGAGCAAAACAGTTGACAGATCCCTGAAGTTTATCCATCTTATCATAATGCGACAGCTTGCCAGGGCTTTCAAACACCAGCATATCCGATTCCAGCACCAGCACATCCCCCCCTTGATACAGGACAGCCGGATCATAAGCAGGTGTGAAGGACAGCTCAACCGGGTGCTTGACCCAGTTCATCTGCTCGTAGTCCTCCATGAACCAGATGACCGACTTCTGTGCAGATTGGTGGCAGCAGAACACGGCAAGCGTGCCGTCCATCTCAAACAGCTGCGTGTGGTGGCGCTCGCCCAGCATCGCCTCCGCGGGGGCAGGGATCCAACTGAATGACTCAGCATCGGTGTCGAACACCAGAATGTTGCCCTCTTGGCTCCGTTGCGGCCGCCAGTGCAGCCTGCCGCGGAAGAGGCCGGGCGGCGATGTGCTGGAGCTCTCCAGCCCTCTCGCCAGCCCGGCGGCCACGGCGGCCGACGACGTGAGCAGCTCGATGTCCCTGATCGCCTGCTGGGATCCCAGCGAGAGGACGTAGTAGGAGTACTCCCCGTCGAGGCCCTCGACCAGGTGGTACAGCACCCGGTACTCCCCAGAAGCGGCGTGCTTGTAGAACCCCAGGAATTCCGGGCCATCACGAAACAGCAGCCGCAGGTGAGCACCTTGGCGCGTGGCGGGGTTGCAGACGAGGAAGGTCTCGCGGAAGCCGAGGAGGAGCAGGCCGTCGCAGGACCCGTGGAGCGCGAGCACGTCGGACCCAATGGAGGGCACGCGGCCAGACACCGTAACCCGCATGACCGCCCGGCGCCTGTTGGTGCTGAGGTTGACGGCCTCGAGGCAGTGCTCGTCGTAAGCCAAGAGGAGGGGCTGCGCTGGCTGGCGGGAGTGGTGCTTGCGGATGAAGGCGGGGTCGGCGGCGAGGTCGCACCAGGCCTTGCAGGCGGCGCGGAAGCGGAGGAGGTGCTTGGGCGGAACGCAGGCGAGGATCTCCGGGATCAGCTCCTCGGGGAGGTCGCCGAAGGAACGTCGTTCGGTCTCCTTCGCCGCCATGGGAAGGGAGGGGTTCGAGAACCTTCAGAAATGTCTGCGAATTCCCCAGATCCGAATGAGCGGGCGAGAAATTGCTGGAATCCCAGCGCGTGAGGACGCGATGGACTCGAGAACGACTGGTGCGAGCTCACCTGTTCCTCGATTTCCCTTGATCTCCCTCGATCTCGCCGCAGAAGAACTCGAGAACACCACCCTTTCGGCCGTTGGAAGAAGACGAGGTGGACGACGAGGGGGATGCAAACGCAGCGGTGCGGGAACCGGACATTCTAGAGCGTTCCTGGCCTTCTGGGCTTCCTTTTTATCTGGGCCTGGCCTAGGCGTAAACTAGATCGAGCCAAACCTTCAAAAACAATAAAGGCCTGTTTGGTTGCCCGCATGAGGTCCAACCATGCCTGCGCGGGGAGGATTCGGTCTGTTTGATAGCCCGCGTACATTATTGGGCCTGCATCGCACACTTCTTAAAGCACCTCAGGGCCTGGCTCACTGGAAACGCACGAATCGGCGGTTTCTCCAGGGCCAGGCCCGAGCGGTGCACGTGGGCGGGCGTGGCTGCACGCGCGCAGCCACGCTCGAGAAGCCACGTTGCTTCCCGAAGCACCGACAGTTATTAGCCTCACCGCCCCTCACCGCTCCCTCTTCCCACTCTCCCAACTCTCACCAGCGGCAGCGGATCGGAGCAAAGGAAGAAGACCACCTGACTCCATCACCGGCGGCGGCGGATCGGAGCAGAGGAAGAAGACCATCGGACTCCATCAATGGCGGTAAGCAGTTCTCTCTCTTCGACATGAACGCTAGATTCGATCCACGGCGGACGGGAATGGGGAATAGAGGTAGGTGAGCATAGAGCTAATTCATATTAGTGCATAGCAGTTCATACGAGTTCATACATGCAAGATCGGTAGATTTTGGGATTGGGGGATAGGGAAATTGGGGGAAAGGGGGTACAGAACGGACACCGGCTGACCGCGGCGGCCGTCAATGGCGTGCGGAGCGACTGGTTGAGCCGCTGGCCTTCATCTTCTTCTTCATCGCCGTGCGGGGCGGCGGGTCGTCCTCGCCGTCCTCGGCGGAGTCGAGGTCGACCTGCCAGGTACGGACTGGCTCCGGCGCCCTAGCTAGCATGTGCACCGCCTCTTCTTCCTCCTCCTTAGGCTCCCTGTCGATGACCGCCGGCGGCGCGATACCCATCTCCCAGTACACTGCGGCACGGCGGTCATTAGGAGCCCAGTAGGTCTTGTACTTGCGCCACTTCTTCCTCTGTTTAGGGTCGTCGGAGACGGCCTGATTCATGGCCCAGCGAAGGATGTCAACTACCATCGCGCCCTTCGCTGGGTCAGGAATCAGCGTTTTCAGCTCATCTTGAGTGGCCTTCATGAGCACATCATTGGATTCGTTCTGCATGTCCGGCATGGAGCCGACGTTCGAGCACACCTCATGGTGTTCTCGAACTTGGTCCGGTCACCAGCCGTCCACCCGAGGAAGAAGGCCCTCCAGCCAATACCCCAAGGGAAGGGGTTGCCGTTGGAGCTGGAGCTAGAGCTCATGGCAATGGGGAGGAGGAAGGTTGACAGTGAGAGAAGAGAGGGGGTGGGTAAATAGTGGTGGGCAGGGTGAGTAAATATAGGGGGTGGAGAGGAGGAGAAGAGTGTCAGTCATGCCATTTTAACTACAAGCTCTTGAATTAGCCATGGTCTGTGCAATGCCTGACTCCATGACTTGTGTGCAGATCGAGGATAGCAATGAGATGGGTACGGAGGTGCTCCCGACCGTTGACAGCAAGGGCAAGCAGCCCCTCCACCCAATGCTTGGCGAGGTTGAGTTGCCGCCCACCATCGAGGAAGACCCGAAGACGCCTGAGGGTGGCGTCGACGAGGGCATGAAGGAGCCCCCCCTCCCAAGCAACAAGCGCCGCAACTACGGCCACTACCACGAGGAGGATGGCCCAACTCACTTATGCAAGGTCATCCTTGCACCGAAGCTTGAGTGCATCCCCATGCCCCTGGACTTCATCAAGCACTTCGTCGCGGTGCCGACGGAGTTCAAGCTCAAGAACAACACCAGCTGCTCCTGGAAGGTGACGGTCAAGCTGATGAACAGCAGGGTGACCCTGGATCAGGGTTGGGACACCTACGCAGCCGTTCATCAAATCAACATCAGCTACATGGTGACGTTCAAGCTCCTCACTCCCGACACCCTCAAGGTCATCATCTTCGACGACGATGGCATTGAGGTCGTCAACAAGTGCGGGAAGCACGACGAAGCCTTCGCCGCCAAGGAGTAGGGCCGGAGCACCTCTATTTTAATTACTATCGAGTCTGCTTTGAACTATTTATGGTTTATGTGTTGAACTGTTATATCTGCGGTACTGCTTATATCTGAATTATGCTAGTTGATACTATGTTTATACTCTGTTGTGCTTATGATGTGTGTTGTCGAAGTGTGATGGTAACCTCACCAACTAGCCAAAGAGGTTACCACACATCAGGCCTTGCATACAACCAAACACCATGCCTTGGGTTTGTGGACTAGCATGCAAGCAACCAAACACCAAGCAGTGTGGTTCAGCCCATGCAGGTAAGAGGGCATGCAGGAAACCAAACAACATGCATATGGTGCATTTGAGGCTGCATTTGCATAGTCAGGTTGGGTGGAGAAGTGTATGCAATGCGGGTACTGTAGCGCACGGCAACCAAACACACCCAAAGTAAACTGGAACGAGCCTATGCTAACCAATCGTTGCCCTAAATATCTACTGCTTTTTTGTTCTAAAAAAAAATAAACCTACTGCTTTCTTTTACGGAAATAATAAATCCCGAACTTTCAGATTTTAAGGATGGCAACCTGAATATTTTTCATGGCAACTTTAGTTCACGCGGGGTTGGCAAACATGGCAATTTTCAACCCCTCAATTTTTTTGGCAATTTTCTGACAAAAAACGAATTGGAACAAAGTTGCCATGTCTTAACAACTAAACTTGCCACCTCACCTCAACTAAACTTGCCATGAAAAAATGCTCGGGATGACATGCTTAAAATCCAACATTCGGGATTTATCGAGGTCCCTTTTACCGAAACTAAATCTCCATTTATACTTATATACTTAACTAAAAGGACTAAGAGCCTCTCTAGCAATTCCCCAATTACCACTTATTGGGACTCCTAAAAAATTCTTCCCTGATAATCAATATGACATATCGAGTACCCACTTGTCAATCAGTAGGCAATGACGCGACGGTGCTTCGGTGGCTATTGTGGTGGTTCGACAAAGGTCCAACAGAGGTGGCGATTGTCCAATGGTGACGGTGGCGCTCCGGCGGGTCCTATGGATGTCTGGTGGTGGCGACGGTGGTTCGAAAACGCTCCAACGATGGTGCGTGTCCTTTTATGGCTGCGTGCTGACGTGGTGGTATTGGGAATTGGATTAGGGGAGGGCCAACTCCCCCTCCATATACCCATATAGGGGAAGATAAAAACTTTTGTGATCACCAATAATTTATTGCGAAAGAAGAACTGTTGGAGCAGTTTTTTGAACCAACTCCCCTCATACCAAGATCTTATTGGGGAAAGGGAAGTTGTTGAAGATGCTCTAAGGTTCCATATTACATCAAGTTTCCCTGCCACCTCTTTGTCCATCCTGCCATCTAGGCTCTCTCCTGGTGTTTTATTTGTTTCCATCTCACTAGTTAGGAAAGTTTTACATAACATTACTCCTATAAAGGATGTTGGACTCCCCGTCTCCTAGGTACTTCGCTTCACGAGAGCACCCTCCGCATCGTTCGTTTCATGTGCGCTCTCGGTCATCCCATCTCCACAGATGCCCCTCTTCCTGAGTCGCGGTCACGATTAGCCACAAGTATGTGTGCAGAGGATCTCTCCAGGCCAAAGGCACCCTCTTCCTGAGTCACAATCACATCCAACGGGAGCATCATCACTTAGGCCAACATCTGCATGCTCGCAGATAGCTCCTCTCCCATGGCCCTCGCCTCGCCCACGACCAATCCCTCCTCCGCGACCATCGCCCCTCTCACCGCCATACAAACACCGCCCTAGACAATAGCACACCCATAGACAAGAGCTCCACTATGCAATAGCATGGCAATGCAAGACTGAACAATACGAAACATGAAAGATACAACCATCGCGATCCAAACATGCTGCAAAATAAAGCCTTATTAGTAAGATCAACACATATGCAGACATCACCGTGCAGATAGTCCGCAGAATAAAGCATTATTAGTTAGCAGTAAGATCAATATATATGCCAAGACACAATACATAGATACGAAAGAAAGGTTGAACCGGAACCACAATAGATAAAACAACATGAGTTAACAACGATTTATTGAATGTCAATGAGTATAGATGAATATCATCATTAAATAGTACAACAACTCAACAACATATAGCAGCATATACATCATGACTCGAATACGCAACAGCCAGAACAAGTAAAAATCAAACCATCGAAAAGAAAAAGGAAACCAAAAAAACCCTACACTGGTGCTATAAAGCACATGCCACTATAACCAAGGCAGCATGGAGCATCTGCTGCTGCGCCACAACATCAACATCACCCACAACGACAGACCCATCGGCATGGGCAACAAGCTGTGTGGTCTGAACCAACGATGCAGCCAGAACTACCATGGGGCAAGCAAGCTCTCGATAAGTAGACATACTCCTATAATTGTAATCCAACACAACAAACCCATACACCCCCTACAGAAAACAATTTGCCCGAAAAGCTGCTTTTTCATAAATGGACAAGCCCACGCTGGCCTGGGACCAGAAAAACCTCCTGACTGTCAATGCATGACTCCCAGGAACATCGACCTCAATCTCAAGTCCATTGAGCTAATCACCATCTTCCATAACCTCTCGCGGGTATGGGTGAAATGGCAAACGACATCGAGAGGCAACGGCATCCAACAGATGCACATACGAACAACTCACAACAAACATCCCGCCACACATAATACCCATCAAAAAGTAAGCCCACTC